AGATTATTTATTTGCAAACTTTTATAAGAAAAACACTTTTTTTTTTCAAAATTTTTTGACTTTTTCATTTATATAACAAAAAAATAAAAATCCCAGTGGTGAATAAATACCACTAAAATAAAGTTTTATCTGTCTCAAAAAATATAAAATTCATATGGGTACAGTGTTGCATGACCGCGCAACTGTCATTCAAAGTGTGATAGCGTTGAAAGCTGAAAATTGGCCTGGACAGGAAGGGGGTGAAAGTGTCCGGACCTGAAGTGGCTAAAGGATAACTGAGCTTTTAGCAGCGCTATCCTGTAAAGTGCATATCAGGGGAAGAAAAATCCTATTCAGTGTGTATCTGCAATACATGAACATTTATTTATTACAGGTACTTATATAGCGCCGTCAATTTACGCAGCGCTTTAAATATATATTGTACATTCATATCAGTCCCTAACCCTCAAGGGGCGTACAATCTAAGGTCCCTAACCCTCAAGGGGCGTACAATCTAAGGTCCCTAACCCTCAAGGGGCGTACAATCTAAGGTCCCTAACCCTCAAGGGGCGTACAATCTAAGGTCCCTAACCCTCAAGGGGCGTACAATCTAAGGTCCCTAACCCTCAAGGGGCATACAATCTAAGGTCCCTAACCCTCAAGGGGCGTACAATCTAAGGTCCCTAACCCTCAAGGGGTGTACAATATAGGGTTCTCTGTATTTAAAAATACTGCAAGTACATAAAACGTACCAGATAAACCGCCATACATTCAGTGAGCTCCTAACTTCTGTTGTCAGCCATGCCCAGTTCTCTTTTACTGGACTAAAGAACACTGTCCCTTATGTTATGGAGAAAAGGAGAGGGGGAGGTGTTCAGTTCAGAACTCATTCATTTCATTTTTGATTTATTGTCAGGTTTCCAACACCTTTTTTTTAACCACTTCCAGACTGGACACTTTTACCCCCTTCCTGACCAGGGCAATTTTCAGCTTTCAGCGCTATCACACTTTGACAATTGCGCGGTCATGCAACACTGTACCCAAATTAATTTTTTACCATTTTTTTGAGACAGATAAAGCTTTATTTTGGTGGTATTTATTCACCGCTGAGATTTTTATTTTTTTTGCTATGTAAATGAAAATGTCCAAAAATTTTGAAAAAAAGTGTTTTTTTTTTAAATTTTGCAAATGAATAATATTTCATCATAAATCTTGGCCAAAATTTATTCCGTTATCTTTTTATTTAAAAAAATCCAAATTAGTTTATAACCAAAAATTATAATTATAACAGTTTCTTTACATTTTTATTTTATTTTTTTATATTATTATTTTTTAATTTTATTTTATTTTTTTACATACCATGGTGACACTGTACTACTTTGTGGGGGGTGATGAAGATTTTTTTTTTTTCACACTGATTGCTTTTACACCCATATAGGATGTAAAAGCAATCATTTCTCTTTCTCTCTGTCTGCATTCTTGCAGTCATTGAGAAATACTGTGAGAGCTGTGATTGGTCACATGGTACAAGGCTGTTGGGAATAGCCTTGTACCATGTGACCTCTGTGATCATTCACAGATTTCACACGTAGTAAGCAATGATGTCACAAGCAGGGGCGGACTGACCATTTGGAAACTCGGGCACTGCCCGAGGGCCCGGGGTCAGTAGGGGGCTCCATGAGATGCCCCTGGTACCTTTTTCATAGGCTTTTTTGAGTTTTGGCAAGGACACAGTAGCCCCATGATCTTCTATTGAGGGCCCGGAGTCAGTAGGGGGCCCCATAAGATGCCCCTTGTACCTTTTTCATAGGCTTTTTGAGTTTGGGCAAGGACACAGGGGCCCCATGATCCCCTATTGCCCGGGGGCCCCATGAGTTGTCAGTCCGCCCCTGGTCACAAGTGACATCTTGCTTACTACTTTGCATGTGATCACTGATTGGCCAATCAGTGATCACATGATCGGGACCTCGTACAGAGGTCCCGTCCGATGATCAGTGAGGACACATTGGGCACCGGATCGCGGTGCTGCGCGCTCCCAGGGAGCGCGCACAAGCAGGGTGTGGGGAGGCCATTTATAAATGGCCACCCGATCCTGCACTGCCACCGTCCGGCCGTTTATATACAAAAACCAATGGCATGGCATGATTCAGTGTCGGGAGATGAAGGTATGTCCAGTCCATTCATTGTACTGCACAATGTATAGGTCTCAGGTCACTTGGTGAATTAGAACTGATCTATGGGCCGCAGATGGGTGAAACTGAGGCTTTGGCCCAAATTTGACAATGTTTGAATTGAGTGGGACAGAGCGGTGGGCACTAAAAACTGATGTATTATTGTTTGTCAGAGAAATAATCCACCCACCAATGTCTTCTATTTCTCATGAATGGCTGTACGGTTCCTGTGGTTTAGTTCCCAGCTTTGCCACTATGAGTGGGTCCCACTCTCTCTGCTGGACTTTTAATTGATGTTATAGCTCCAAGAGTACAACAGAGAAAGTATGACCACCAAATATGTATCGTGTGTTTTATGTGGAACACATATTTTGCTGGAAACCAACCAAAGATGCCGTAAGCAGGTCTTCTTCCAAGCCCATGCAGCAAAATTAAAGGGTTCAAGATATGAACAGGATCTTAGAGGCTAAGTTCATCTTTTGCACCAGATTACATGTTACACCTGAATTTAGGGTGTAACCAGGGGTGGACTGACATTTCCCTCCTCACTGGCCTGCCTCGCCACTGGCTATCCCCGCTTCAGTCGATCCTGAATACGGCTGCCAGACTCATTCACCTTTCCAAACCACTCCGTTTCCTCCACCCCCCTCTGCCAATCCCTCCACTGGCTTCCGATTGCGCAACGGATCAAATTCAAAATCCTAACACTGACGTACAAAGCCGTCCACATACTGCCCCGAACTACATCACCGACCTAATATCCAAGTACTGCCCAGCACACACACTCCGCTCCTCACAAGACCTCCTTCTCTCTAGTTCCCTGGTCTCCTCCTCCCATGCCCGCCTCCAGGACTTCTCCAGGGTGTCACCCATCCTCTGGAACTCCCTGCCCCAACCCATCAGATTATCACCTATTCTCCTCTCCTTTAGGTGCACCCTGAAACCCATCTCTTCAGGGAAGCCTACCCCACCCCCTGCTAACTTGACCGACCTCCTCCACTCTTCCTACCACTCCATCCCCCACAGCCATTTCCTCCTGTGCCACCATCCCTTCCCTCCTAGATTGTAAGCTTGAAAGAGCAGGTCCCTCGATCCCCTCATGTTTTGCATTGTATTGTATTGTTCTGTCACATGTTCTGTACCCCTTTGTAATGTACAGCGCTGAGCGAACTATTGGCGCTTTATTAAATACTGTACAATAATAACTCATGGGGCCCCCGGGCAATAGGGGATCATGGGGCCCCTGTGTCCTTGCCCAAACTCAAAAAAGCCTATGAAAAAGGTACCAGGGGCATCTCATGGGGCCCCCTACTGACCCCGGGCCCTCGGGCGGTGCCCGAGTTTCCAAATGGTCAGTCCGCCCCTGGGTGTAATATGGTACAAATACCCCCACCCTCTCATTTTTTTAAAAGGTGAATGTAGCCTTTAGGATGCATTCACACCAGTCGCTGCGTTACATCCTTACAGTGTGTTCCATCTGCTGGTGTGTGGTGTGATCAGTTCAGCGCCGATATGCCAATCCCGGCACATCACACTGTTCTCTTTAATAATGAACTACTGAAATTTAATACAGTGACATCTCACTAAGTTTTGCCAGTGTGCAGTGCCTGAGCTGGAAAAATGTACAACCGGCCACACCAGAGACAAGACATTTTGCTTTGGCGTATGGTGGGGTTTGGGGGGGAATAGCCACCCATCATAGTTCCACTGCACCTGGTGTGAATGGACCCTAACGAACTATGGTCACACTCTAAAATCACCTATATATGATGTCGCATGCACATATCGGTAAGACTGATCTTTGGTTTTTATAGATGGCCTCTGGAGAATTTTATAAATACATCTTGAGCCTGCCAGTAGAACCTTTAGATAGGCACTTCCCGTGATAGGATGACAACACTTTCCTTCCACAGTGAATTCACTGCTGTGTTGTCAGTCTTGCTGCTGGTGCTGAAGTTGCTTGGCATTGTAATAGCCCTATCAGTGGATAGCCACACCCAGGGGAGGACTGACAACTCATGGGGCCCCTGGGCAATGGGGGATCATGGGGCCCCTGTGTCCTTGCCAAACTCAAAAAAGTCTATGAAATAGGTACCAGGGGCATCTCATGGGGCCCCTTACTCACCCTGGGCCCTCGGGCAGTGCCCGAGTTTCTAAATGGTCAGTCTGCCCCTGGCCACACCCCTCCACCCACAGTCCTTTAGTTTGACAGCACATTGCTCTAACTGTTGAATCTGAAGAAATTATTTAAAAGCCCTCCTCAGTCCCACCCACCCCCTCCATTACTGTCTAGCAGGGTGCAGGAAAAATCCAGAATCCCAGATACATTTGATGTTTAAAAAAACAGGTGGATTAAACTTCTTTTAAAATATTTAACCACTTGCCTTGCAGAGATTTACCCCCCTTCCTGACCAGGCTATTTTTTGCGATACGGCGCTGCATTACTTTAACTGACAATTGCGCGGTCATGCAACGCTGCACTCAAATGAAAATTATGTCCTTTTTCCCACAAATAGAGCTTTCTTTCAGGGGTATTTGATCGCCTCTGCATTTATGTTTTGCGCTATAAAAACAAAAAAAGAGGAACAATTTTGAAAAAAAATATATATATATTTTGGACTTTTTGCTATAAAACATATCTAGTAAAAAAAATTTCAAAATCAAATTTCTTCATAAATTTAGGCCAAAATGTATTCTGCTATACATCTTTGCTGAAAAAAAAAATCCCAATACGTGTAAATTAATTGGTTTGCGTGAAAGTTATAGCGTCTGCAAATGGCGGTATATGTACTGGAATTTGTTGTTTTTTGGGGTTTTTTTTTAATACTAGGATAGGCGGCGATCAGCGACTTATTGCGGGACTGCGGCAGGCATTCTGACACTGGGGGGGGAACTGACTAACTGCCACTGACATCCCAATGACACTAATACAGTGATCAATGCTAATAAAAAGCACTGACACTGTACTAATGACACTGGGCAGGAAGGGGTTAACATCTGGGGTGATCAAAGGGTTAACTGTGTGCTGTGTTTTACTGTATGTGCTGTGTATGTTTTACTTGGGAAACATGTAACTGTGTATTTCTCTGCTGTGCAGAGAAGTACACAGCAGCATGTTACTGCTAGCAGGAGAGAGACCTGTGTTGTTTGCACACAGGTCTCTCCCCTGTCATTGTTCTTCGGCAATCGCCGGGTGCCGATGGGGAATCTCCGGCCGGGACCTGGTGATCGACATCTGTAGCCACCAATGGCGACGCGTGTAGGGCGATGCATGCCCCCTCCTCGGAAGTTGAAAGTGCCCTGTCTCTCTGTAGCAGTAGTTCTGCTATATGGCAGTTGAGAAGCGGTTATCATGCCAGCTTGCAATTAAAATGCCGTTTATCACTTTAAAAAGAAAAAAAAAACTAAAGGCTTTAGATAAAGCTTAAGTAGGCAGAAAAAAAGGAGGAGATAAGGAGATCTTGCTCCATATAAGAAGCCAATGGGTGATTCATCTTGATAGGTTCCAAAAGAAATAGAATACAATGTTTGGCCGGTCTCAGCCTTTATAGCGGGGGGTCGGCAGCCTGTCGATTGTGATCTTCTTGTCGCTTGCGGGCATGTGACCGGTAAATTGCAGCCAACCTTGTCGTGCCCTCAGCTAATATTTGGATGGACAGATGACTGGAAAGGAACCAGTTTCCGTGCAGAGGTCCTTCTGGGACTTGCCCTCCTCTACTCCTGCCCACAAGCCAGGGCTGCAGTTTCAGGAGCCGGGTGCCACCCTCTCCATAGTTTGCAGTGCGCATGTGCCAAACATTGTCCTCCAGCACCCAGCCAGTGCTTTTCAGGAGCCAAGCACCCCTCCCTTATGTGTAGCTGTTTCAAGGTGATAGATTTGTAGCCTGAACTATGAAAGAACTCATTCTAGTTGACACCTTCCCCCATCTATACACAGTAGCTGCCCCCTCCTGGGTTATTCCTGAACTAGAGGCATGGATCACATGTCTCTGTTGTAGACTGAGCATTGCGAGGCTGTTCATACATACAATGCTGCCCTGCTACTTACTTCTGACCCCTGCAATGTGCGTTACATATGACTGATTTCTGCATTACTTCTGACCCCTGCGACCCCTACTTCTTATCTCTACTAACCACAGCTTACAAAGCCATCCACAACACTGCCCCTAGCTACATCACCATCCTCAGCCACAGATACCGCCCAAATCGCCCACTCCGCTCCTCCCAAGATATCCTCCTCTCTAGCTCCCTCATCACCTCCTCCTACGCTCACCTCCAGGACTTCTCCACAGCCTCTCCCATCCTCTGGAACTCCCTACCACAGCATGTCCGGTCATCCCCCACCCTGTCTGTGTTAGATCCCGCCAGGTGGTGCCCCTGGCTGCCCACTTGACAGACCTACCCAAAGCGTGGAGTCTAAGTCCCGGTCTGTGCTTTCACCAGGGCCCCTGATGGTGGGGATGGACTTGAAACAGACCGGGACCAGGTCACGACCTCCGAGCAGGCCCACCAGTGGCAGGGGCAACCTCCGGGGATGTATTGGTACCGGGAGAGCCAGATGTGAGGAGGACGGCAGGACCTAGCAGGATGGATCACGAGCGGGGTCCCGTGGGGTAGGCGAGGTACAGAGTCGGCAGGCAGAGAGTAGTCAGGTCACACGCAGGGTCAGCAGGATAAGTCAGTCCGTAGAGAGGTCAAAACAAGCCGAGGGTCAGGATGGGAGAAGGCAGAGTAGTCAGGACAATCCGGGTCAACACAGGAGTAGGCAGCGTAGTCAGGGTCAATCAGGGTCAAAAACACAGGTACAGGACTCAGGAACTCAGATAGACCTTGCGGCGATTACTGACAGTGCAGGGCATCTTTAAATATTGCGCCCTGCACTGTCATTGGCCGCTCGGGACGCGCCCCCGGGCTGTCATTGGCCGCCCGAGGCGCGCCCGCGGGTCCCACTGCGCATGCGCGGCATCCTGTCATCCACGGCTCGCCGGAACCTAGTGCCTGTGTCCCGGCGTGAGCCGTCGCCAGTGCGCATGCGCCGGCCGACAGGACGCCGCGATCCCTGACAGTCTGCCTTTAGGCGATCTTTGAAAACTCACTTCTTCAGGGAAGCCTACCACACCTCCACCTAAGAACTGTACTTGAATCACCTCCACCAGATCATCCCCCTGCAGCTATCACCTTTTGCATCCCCCTTCCCTTCCTTTAGATTGTAAGCTTCACGAGCCGGGCCCTCCTATTCCTTCTGTACTGAAATGTATTGTAATTGTACTGTCTCCCTTATATTGTAAAGCGCTGCGCAAACTGTTGGTGCTATATAAATCCTGTATAATAATAATGTGTATTACATATGACTGATCTCTGCATTACTTACTCCTGACCCCTGCACTCTGTATTTCTTTATTGCTGACCCCTGAACTCTGCGTTGTATAATAATGACCCCTTAACTCTTCAAATCTTCCATACTATTCAAAGTCACCTTGCTCGATTTATTTCTTTTAACCCAAAAAAAAAAAAAAAAGCACACTGTACTATGGTGATCCTTGATCTCTTCCATTATTCAGGTAGATCTTGTACTATTCAGGTATATACCTTTTTCATCTTTATTTTAAAATGGAAAACGGGGTATATTAGATGCAGCTCCTCACTTTGCCAATCACAGTGGGATAAATATATATAATATATTATAATATATATATATATATATATATATATATACTGTATCAGGCTGCATTCACACCTGAGCAACATGGTATTGCAGGAAAAATGCAGTCACAGTACAAGCAAAATCCCGGCCTGGGGAGAGGTGCGGGAGCTGTGATGGGTAAGTGATCACCGATGGGGGTTAACTTTCACTGCCAGTGACCACCAATGTCAGGGGTGAGTTAATAGCACTGACATCAGTGTATTTTGCGCAGCACTTTACAATATAAATGAAGACAATACAAGAGGGTTAGGCAGGCCCTTCTCCTGGGAGCTTACATTGTAATAGGGAGGGGCAAGTGGAACAAAAGGTAATAATTGTGAGGGATCAACTGATGGGAGAAATAAAAGATTCATTTGTTAGCTGAAAGCAGCATAGGCTTCCCTGAATTGATGAGTTTTCAGGGATCACCTAAAAGTGAACATAGTAGGAGATAGTCAAGGAGATTGGAGTAGGGAGTTCCAGAGGATGGGAGATGCAATACGGCACCGTATTACTTTAACTGACAATTGCTTGACCAACACTTTACATAAATTAATTCATGTCATTTTTTTCTGCACAAATAGAGTTTTCTTTTGGTGGTATGTGATCACCTCTGTGTTTTTTATTTATAAACAAAAAAAGACCAAGTTTAAAAAAAATTATAATTTTGACTTTTTGGTATAAAACATATCCAATTAAAAAAAAAATAATAATAATTTCTTCATAAATTTAGTCCAAAATGTATTCTGCTACATATTTTTGATACTAAAAATATCCAAATAAGTGTATATTAATTGGTTTAAATGAAAGATATAGCGTCTACAAATGGTATGGTTTATTTTTTTATACTAGTAATGAGAGTGATCAGTGACTTATAGCAGAACTGTAGCGGGCATTCTGACACAAACTAACTGCCACTGACATCTCCAGTGACACTAATACAGTGATCAGTACTAATTTATTTATTTCAGGTACTTATATAGCACCATCAATTTACACAGCGCTTTACATATATATTGTACATTCACATCAGTCCCTAACCCTCAAGGGGCGTACAATCATAAGGTCCCTGAGCCTCAAGGGGCGTACAATCTAAGGTCCCTAACCCTCAAGGAGTGTACAATCTAAGGTCCCTAACCCTCAAGGGGCGTACAATCTAAGGTCCCTAACCCTCAAGGAGTGTACAATCTAAGGTCCCTAACCCTCAAGGGGCATACAATCTAAGGTCCCTAACCCTCAAGGGGCGTACAATCTAAGGTCTCTGACCCTCAAGGGGCGTACAATCTAAGGTCCCTAACCCTCAAGGAGTGTACAATCTAAGGTCCCTAACCCTCAAGGGGCGTACAATCTAAGGTCCCTAACCCTCAAGGAGTGTACAATCTAAGGTCCCTAACCCTCAAGGGGCATACAATCTAAGGTCCCTAACCCTCAAGGAGTGTACAATCTAAGGTCCCTAACCCTCAAGGGGTGTACAATCTAAGGTCCCTAACCCTCAAGGGGCGTACAATCTAAGGTCCCTAACCCTCAAGGGGTGTACAATCTAAGGTCCCTAACCCTCAAGGGGCATACAATCTAAGGTCCCTAACCCTCAAGGGGTGTACAATCTAAGGTCCCTAACCCTCAAGGGGCGTACAATCTAAGGTCCCTAACCCTCAAGGAGTGTACAATCTAAGGTCCCTAACCCTCAAGGGATGTACAATCTAAGGTCCCTAACTCACATTCATTCATACACATTTTTTGATTGAAAAAGATACTTTATTACAGAAGTATAAAAAAACATGATACTCGTTATCGGGGTACATCTCACCCTATACTGCGATGCAGCGCACCACATTACAATATAATTCCAAGCATACGATAATTACATTCAATAAATACATTCACTCAGCGGTATGATGCCTGACGTGATGTGCGTGGCGGACGAATCCCCAGACCAACACGTCATGCATAACGCCGCTTACCCCAAGACCATAGCATCCTAAGACAAAGAACATTTCCTACCATTACAGAGTCATGCAAAATACGGATGTTACACTTTACAATAAGCATCAGGTGTGTGGGGGGGAAGGGGAAAAAGAAGGGGACACAGGCCCGAAGCTTTATTGAAGGGACAAAGACACGCAAGGGGGAGTAGGGGGAAGGGGAGATCTTCAGATGTCCTCTTCCTCCTTAAAGTCCATCAAGGTATAGTCTCTGAGCAGACTGAGGATCAGTCTGCGACAGTCCTCAATGGACATCCTCTCCCGCTTGTGGATGAGGCGCTTCCTGGCGCACCATAAAGCGTCCTTAAAACAACACAGCACCCGCCAGGCGCTGTCAATGTCCTCCAGAGAAAAAGTTCCACAGAAAAGTCCATTCAACACCCCAAAGTGTGTGATGGCTGTCTGTGGCACAAAGTCCTTGAGTTCAGGTTCCAGGGCCCTCAACAGGTCCTGAGCAAAAGAGCACTCCCAGAAAACGTGGTGAGACGTTTCCTCATGGATGATGCAGAAGGGGCAGTGTCTGTATCTGCTCAGGTTCCTGGCATGCATAAATGTCCTGAGAG